TGATAATAGATTAAGAATACTTTTCAGCTTCATGAATTAGAAACTGAAACTACTTCAAATATGCAAATCATTACAGTTACAAAAAATAAAAATAGATTAAATGTAATACAAAACTATATGCCCTTTTAATCATCTTTATACTATATTGTGCAAGGTTCATATGGATATTTTGAAGCATATTAAAATATCTAAAATGTGGGATATTGTAAGTATTAATTTATATATTGATATAAATTATATTTTTTATTTTTTATTTTATTTTATTTATTTATTTTGTTTTTTATTTTCTTTAGATCAGAAATCAATATGATTATATTCCTCAATCATTTATAAAAGAATTTTGTAGTACATGTAAAATATACATTACACATCAATTATTTACTAGTCTTTAGTTGCAAAACATATTGTGGCATCAAAATTTCTTTTTTATATTCAAGTCAATTTAATTGAATTAATATTTCAATCTATAGAAAAATAAAATATATGTATTATGTTTGTGACTACTTTATCTGATTTTCTTGAGCTTAATGTCTTACAAATAAATGTGCTACAGAAGTAGCTGTATTTCTTTATAACATTTTCACTATATTTGAAGCTCCTATAATCTTACAATCAAATAATAGTAAAGAATTTATCACAAAAATTATTTATGAATTAATAGTACTTTGGCCAAAAGTAAGAATTATAAATAGATATCCTAAATATCCACAATCTCAGAAATAATTGAGAGAGCAAACAGAATTCTACAAATTAAACTTGGTAAATAAATAGAGAACAATAATACAAATGATTAGATAAAAGAATTGCTGTTAATTATACATATATACAAATAATATATTCTATATTAAAAATAAATAAAATAAATTAATTTATTAATATTACATACTATATGCATATATATTTAGATACAATAAATATACAAACAGGTTATGCAATAAGTAAATTACTATATACTTTCATATTTGGCTAGAACCTAGTCTAATATTTTTTATTGCTTAAAGACTTGTATCAACAAGATATTATTGATAAAGAAATATTGCCTAATAATTTTTTCAATGATTTTAATAATTCTAACAATGATTTTGAACCTGAACCTTCAGTATTGAATCAACTTAAATCTTTAATATCAAATCAATCTGAGCCTTTAATATTGAATCAACTTAAATCTTCAATATCAAATTAATCTAAACTTTTAATAATAAATTAACTTGAACTTTCAACATTAGATCAACCTAAACTAGGACTTAGAATAGGCCAGGCCAAACCTAAAAATTTACAGGTTGGGCTAGGTTGGGCTGGGTTTGGATTTAAATTTTAGACCTGTTAATTAATTAGGCCAGGTTTGGGCCAGGCTAAAAAATACTAGGCTAGATCTAAATAGGCCTGTTAAAATCTGTTAAAATTTATTAAACTTTATATTAAACTTTAGCTATTATAGCTATTTTTATAATTTTTGAAACACTTGTTAAAAATTTGCCAAAAAGTTTTTTGGCCATTCTGATTAAATTATTGATTTTGATATCAATATATAATGATAAATTACAATTTATTATTATGTTATATTATAGGAAAGTTGTATTTATAATACCATATTATATAACACCTTATGCTATATTTCAGAAATGTACTAAGTAAATTGATGTAGATATTCTAAGTAAAAATATTTAGTACTCTTGAAAACTTTATAAAAACTAAAATTAAAACCTATTGAAGCTTTATATCTAATATATATTATATAATAAAAAACCTCTATAAAACTCCCTATTTGAATGCTAATTCTAATTAAAACTATATAGGTATTATATAACATAGGTGTTATGAATATAATATTTCTATATTATTATATTATTTTTATACAGACTAAAACACTATAGCACTAAATATGTTGAGCAAGTATTTAATAAAAATTTAGTAATATTGTGCTGATATTTATAATATTAAAATTTTTGTAAAAAAGAATGCATATATCTTTTATATATACCCTATAAAAAAGTTTGTTCAGTTATTGTAGGCATTGTCCAAAAAAATGTTCAGAAAGGAGTCAATTTTCTAAACAGGGTTTATTTTTGTACTGTAATGATTTGCATATTTGAAGTAGTTTCAGTTTCTAATTCATGAAGCTGAAAAGTATTCTTAATCTATTATCA